TTGGATAAAACAAACGGACACTCAGTATTGTCTCAAAAAATGATAATGTGCAACCTTATGTTAAGCAGAATTTAAACACATATTTCAATTATTTCCTCTGTCTAGATGGTTATAAGATAGTGTATTATATTATTTATCTACTTTTAGGGGCATCTCTTGTGACATCAGATATAATTGTACAGTTAAAGTCCTTGGGCCTGTATGCCATTTTAGTTTTAGTGAATGAATACATTACCATTGTTTTGTAATGGCTTTGAATGGTTTTTCAGGATAAGCAACACTTTTACCTGAACATGCCATAGTCTAAAGTAAGAGATTGCTGTCTTGGGGTTTTACCTAATTTTCCACAAGTTGAAATTTGTTCTCAAAACAATGTTTTATGTTTTTATTCATAACACAAAATATTTTTAAGGCTAACATCAGTACGACATATCTTAAGACAAGTTAGTGTGAGGAGGGATCATCCCTCATACATGAGTGTATAACGCAAAACAGGTGCTGTTTTACACATTTACAACCTGAAGCATGTCAGCATTTCCATGTTTTCCCTCATGTACGTCATGTTTTATTCATGGAAAAAAGGCAGCGTTGTTGAGAGACGTTAAGACAGAATAACATCACGGGCCTGCTACATCTTCGTTTCACAATTCCTCATCTTTATTTCAAATTCCATTTCAAAAACATAAAGCCTATTAAGTATTTGATTTTCCCTTCAAAGGACGCTTTGAGAGGCATTTGTATCAGCTTGTTGGTGCTTTGTAGTTTGAATTGTGCTCTACAGCCAGTGCCTATCTGATACTGCTGGTCTGATCCCTGATGTCTTTCCACTGCGTCTTATTTAGTGCCAGCTCACGCCTTTCATGTGAAATTGTTCCAGGAACTGTAGCTCTACCTCACCTTTCTTTCTCTGAAATTCCTCAAAACACTCGATGACATTAAAAATGATATTACAGATATTATCTACTTTATTATGGTCAGATTCAATAAAAATTTTAAAAGGACCAGCTTTATTTGTTGGATTAACTCTATGCTGGATTTATCTTATTTTATTGTATGAGATATATATGATCATTACCCTTTGGTCACAATTTCACTCACATCAGTGTGAAGCGCAACCTACAGTTGTGTTGGTGTCGTCAAATTTGTGATGTTAAGTGCATAAATATTACAGAATGATTCATCCTTCCACAGATTGTATTTATGTTTCCTCCTTCCACAGATTTCTTTTTATGTTTTCTCAGCTTTCTTGTAATTCTGTTTTAGTGTATGTTTTTTATCTCTTCAGTCAAGTTTTAGTTACATTTACACTGATGTTTTCAAAATGTCTGAACTGATCAATGTGCACTGCTCTCTATATATTTAACAATTAAACAATGAACAGTGACAAAAACAGGAGATGAACTCAAAATCTTCATTCCAGTTTGTCCACATCTCAACAATTTAGCACTTAATAGCTTTTTCCTGAACTTTCAACCACTCACTGAGTTATCTCCATGACAACTGAGCAAACTCATCCCCTGATGAGACTACACCTTGAAAAGCAGTAGAAAAACAAATTTTCTTCTTTTTTTTGTTTGTTTGTGAAACTACAATTATGAAGCTAAAAAATGAACACATTCACATTTGGCTGACCAACTATACTGTTGCTGAAGGATAAAGTGATGAAAGGTAAAAGGAATCAAGTTAATGTGGGTCAGTGTCATTGCTCTTACACATACACACTCACACAATTAATCTAAGTAGCCTACTCCAGACATATATGCCATTAGTCGGTGGAAATTTGGCAATTTGCAATAAGTTACAGGTGTATTCCAGGTTGATGTTATTTATTACTACTAGCCAGATGATGTTCTCAAACATTTTATCCTCGTTAAAATGTAATTTTATTGTTTTCCGGCAAGCGGCGCTTTTTCTAAATGTTCAAAGTGTCCTGTTTGTGCAGAAGGATAGAAAAAGTTCATCAGAGAGTCTTAGAAAAAGAGAGGCACAAGTGCTCAGAGCCGCCGAAGCGTATCGCAATGAATCATGGGAGCATTCAGGGGATTAATCTCGCTACTACTAGTGTCTCATCTTCAGTCACTTGCATTGTCTCTGATCACGTAAAGGGATTGCTGGAACGCTGACACAACGCTCAAACTCTCGCGAAATTAGCAACAGATTTGACCAAAATACTAATTCATAGCCATTTCCGGGTCAGGTGGAGGCTGTGGAGGACAAGACGAAAGGCGGAGAGATTACTGGAGAGATTTTGGACTAAACGGACTGGCCTGACAATTGTTTTGTGAGCCTTAGCGGTGCATGGCCGCAGCTAACTGCACCTAGCTAGCTGACCGCTGACCGACAGCCCACCCCCTGGTCACATGAAGTGAGTTTGACCGAGGGAGGGGAGGAGGATGGCGGAGCGGGATATGCAGCCGGGAGATCTGCCTGTGCAGTCATCTTCTGAGGTTTCAGAAAGTTCTGGGAGACAAAATTCCTCCGATGAAAACGGACACGCTGACAGTCCAGATGAGACTCTCTCCCCGACCTCGGTGATTTACTTCAAGGAGGCTTTAAACTCCTCGAACTTGAGGTTTGGGAAGGCTGGGTCGCTGTCACCCACTACGCTTCGACAGTATGACTTCCAGATTGAAAGAATCGAGTCAAAGCGCAGAAGTAAGTGCTAACAAACTTTGAAAAGTCCAGATGATGACTCAGCTAGCAAACATTATCCTCCATAATAACCTAATGTACAAAAAACAGAAAGTGTGCCCACTGTTAGCTTAGCTAACTAGCTTGCTAGTGTAGTTAGCTAACTTTGGACTGTTAAACAAACAACTTCCCATCTCCTTGTGACTCAAGAAAACTGCCAGTGACTAACTTAGCTAAGGTTAGGATTGTAATAAATACCATCAACTCTCTTGTCACTTGATTCTCATCCCCAAGTCAGTAATTTTAGGTGGCATTACAGTGAGTTGACACAGCGAATGTAAACAAGGTGTGTGGTTTATAAACTCCTCTGCTACCTGTTGTTATTGACAGACTTGGGTAATTACTTCGCAATGCTTCTGTTTGGTGTTAGAATTAACGGTGAATTGGTCATAGCTGGCTTTTCTTGAACTCAAAGTTCTGTCTGTGGTAACTATTATCATGTATGTCATCAATATTTCACATGAACTATCCATGTGCGTTATTGAACACTGCTTCAACTGAGCAGAAAATAAATGAAGATTATAGCCTAGTTACTTACACCCACTTGATAAACTAACTTTACATTGCTTTCACATCTCCACTGCATGATCATAAGAGGATGTAAGCATTGACTACATCCCATATCTAATGAGGAAACGCAAAGTAACCTGACAGTCCTGTGTAAGTAGGTCAGTAATTGAATTTGCTGTAGAGTTGCAAAAGTCAGTTGATTAATCATATTATAGAAGCAACTATTTTGATAATTAATCATTTTTAATTGATTAGTCATCAATTCATAAATTTTGAAGTCCAAAAAACATGCTGTGGTTGCAGCTTCTCCAATGTGAGTGTTTCTGTGTTTCATCATTGCAAACAGAATTTCTCAGTGTTATGAGCTGCTGGTGGGACAGATGAAGACATTAGATATTTGAACATTTTCGCTATTTTCTGATTTTATTTACCAAACGATTAATCCATTAATTTGGAAAATAATCCTTAGCTGCAGCCCTGCCTGTACTGTCAGTGATGATTAGATCTTGATCTAAACATGCTGCATGCTTATTGCTTATTGCTACCCAGACCTACATTTTCCAGTGTAAAATAAACATATGCATACAAGTGCTCTAATGTAATTGTGTGGTGTTTGTAAATTAGCTATTTCTGTAATTCCTTATTACATACAGGCCAACATTTACAATGATACCTATATGTTGATGTTGGTCGAGCAATAATCGATAATGAAACAAGTTGTTAGTTGTTAAGATAAACAGGAAGCGAGGGAAGAGAATAAGGGTGTGTCATGCAACAGAGGTTCACAGCTTGAACTAAGGTTGTTGTGATGACATGGTTAGTGTCTAGACCACAGAGACACCCCTACACTGGTTTTTCATAAGCATTAGATTTCAGTGAATCTTTTTACATTAATCTGTGACAGGACAATACCTACAGCATGTCTTTAATTAAGTCAGCTGATCAATTAGCCAAATAAATCCTATGATTATCTTTTATGGGTATGATCAGCTGTCATAAGACCTTTGACACAGCACTTTTCCAACATGTATGTAATAGGTGGTTTGCAAGCAGCAGGACACATATAACATGACAAAGCTTAAATGGACTCTTCCTGATTCTTAAGTCTGATAGCTGCTTCATTTACTTGCTTAACCTGACAGTTGTAGCTGCGTTAAATCAACACTCTGTTGATTTGGACCACAGTTACAAATATTGTAATGTGGACATAGTATTTAAATTTTTCCAAATTGATGTGTATATTTTTCTCATCCTCTGGTGACACTGAACATCATCCCCTAGATATCATCTCTTCATCAGTGTCAAGTGTGGTTTATAATTTCATCAACATGCACCAGGCCTGTAGAAACTGCACCGGAATATTGGCCTTTTATTTTATAAGAGGTCACTTGGTTTTCCCTAGATGGAAATTAAAAAAACACAATAACCATTTACATCCAGGTCATCTGGCCTTATTACCCTTGTCGCTCACTGCTGTTGGCGTTGTGCTGTGCTGCTGCAGCCCGTTCAATAATTGCTTTGTCAAATAACAGGCCTCTGTTTCAGGTCAGGGGAGGCTGTTGATGCTTGAGAGACAGATCAGTCCTCTGCTGCATCATTAGCATTGCCTGGGTCCTCTGGGGACCCCCCCCCCCTTTTTCTTTTTTCCTTTTTTTCTTTTTTTTCTTTTTTTACGCATGCACCATCTGCTCACGTGACAGTGTGTTGCTGTACCCAGCACTACTGTCAGCCATCTTGGTCAACACCCACCCAGTGCATTCACTGCGGTGCACAGGCAGCCCAATCAGAGTGAACCGGTGTTAAGCTGGCCGGAGGAGGGCTGTGATTTCCAGCACGGTGCTCTCTTGCATTTTAAATTCCCAGTCTGCACAAAAGGGATAACAAGAGGTTGGAAGAGGAGGAGGAGGTGGAGGAGGAGAGAGAGCAGGGCAGCCTTTCTCAAGACGGCAGCGTATTTCACTCAGTTGTAACAAGGAGGAGAGAAGGATGCAGGCATAAAGAGGAGGAGAAGCAGCACCCTTTCAGACACCTGCTGTGGGCCTTCTCTGTCTTGGCCTTTTTCTCTTCTTCTTTTGTGTTGATGCTGATCTCATCCTCTCTGATTTCCTCTTCTCTCTGACCTGTTTTTTTTTTTTGGGGCCTTCACTGGCTCCTGGAACAAAAGCTACTACGCCTTTTTCCCCTCGGTGGTGTTGGTTTTGCCTCACATCAGCTGAGTCATCATGTCTGATCTGACGCCTCAGAGTGAAACCCCGACTCCCACCACTGACAAGATCACCCAGGCCGCACGGGAGACCATTTATCTCTGCAACTTTCGCGTGTCTGTCGATGGCGAGTGGCTTTGCCTTCGCGAGCTCAACGACATCTCCCTCACGCCAGACCCAGAGCCGGCGCATGAAGGTAATGTGGCAGATTAGTTCAGCGTCTGAGGAGGTTTTTGTGGACACGGTGGGATCTCCGTTTGGGTGTGGTGGTACAGAAGGTGCATGTTTCACCTAGTGAACTGTGCTGATGTGTTCTGTTTGAGCTGTGTCATGGTGGATTTCAGAGGAGACGGTTTGAGAGTCACACAGCAGGATGACGTTGCTTGTAAATAAGCCAGGGATGGGCAACGAAACAACCAGGAAGTATGGGTTGTTTTGTCATGAGAATTTATTAGAGCTTGTGGTAAATCAGATTGACAACAAGTATTTGATCCATTATATTTGCTGTGTTTTTTCCTTGATCTTTGGAAATATTTCAAGGTTTGCATGTTGTTTATTTGAATGTTTTTTTTTACTCTCACTGAGACTAAACAAGACGGGATGCAACTGAGTCCAGATATTTCAATTTGGCAGCGAACACATACCTTGCTTTAAACAGATATGCATTTGCTGCAGTAAGTGTTGTGTTTCTCTGGTTTTGAATTTGATAGAGATCCCAGTATCTGCTGTGTGCTGATCAATACGACAGATGCTGTTGTATCTGTAGAGAGACTTCCTCATCTGTTGCCACGCCTTCTCTCAGTATAGACCGGGCAGGTTGGCCAGTCCACAGTTTCCCTAAGAAAGGGGGGCAGTTCAGACTTTTCCTACACTGCAGCATCAGCTCAACATTTATGGTCTACTGTAATGATGTTACAGAGGACAGTTACAGAAACGTTTGGTTTGTCAATTGCCTGTAAGATAAAGTCTTACACTGCGGGTTACAGGACTATGATTTTTAATTTTCCTCTTGGCAGTTGCTATTTATTCCAGCTGATACTGATATTTTTCAATTCACAGCAATATTATCACATGAATAGTTTCCACTGGTGGAGTTTATCCCTTAGACTTAACCTATAAGGCTCAGTGCACAAGTATTTCATCTCAGTTTTTAGTAATATGTGACATTTATTTTGGAATTCACTTTTCACACATGCTGGTTCTTGCATTTTCTTTGTGTAGCAGGGGAATTCTTGAATGCCTCCTTGTAAAAAGCTGATATCCTTTACTCATTGCAACTTTTAGAAATTCATAAATCAACAAAAACGTAGACAGGCTAGTTTTTGGTATTACAGTAACTATGTGAAATAATTCATCTAGCTTTGACTTGTTGTTCATGTGGGATATGTTCACGTTAAAATCCGGGAATTCATTTTTTAGCATCTGAGGCATTTGAAGGTCCCATATTGTAAAAAAGTGAGATTTCATGTATTTTTTGATTATAAAGCAGGTCTAGGTTTTATATTAGTACTGTGAAAGCATCAAAGCACTCAGTCCAGAGAAATACACACATCCTGTAACTTTGTGATGTCACAATGAAACAGTCACTACCCTCAGCTATTCCCCCAGCACGACCTATCTGAACCCACCATCCAACCTTGCAGGATTCGGAGTGTTTATCTTTTTTATTTTTACTAGATCGCTCAGAAAACTCTTCTCAAAACCACAAATATATTTTCTTATGGATCAACACTTCAAATAAAACAGGAAAAATGTAAAATATGGGACCTTTTAACATATTATAGTCATTACTGCACATCTATTGATACAGTTCGACTTGTCTTTTGTGTGATATGGACTGAATCGGAAGTCAGGCTGTGATGTTGTTGCATATTGATAATTAAATAGAACATAGACTTTACCTCATTACCCAGCTGTCCACTTTCATCTCAGTGTTTAACTGCTAAATTGTATGTTGCAGTCACCTGTAATGAGGAGAACTTCTCTATTAAAATCAGAGCTGATAATCCTGATGGAGACTGACACAATTTTAGCAACAAAACACATAACCTATATATTCTGTTTCAGAGTCTAATCCATGCAAATGCAAATTTCAGACCAAATGTATGAATGTTTAATAATGTCAACAAGCTCCTCGACTAAAAGCCCCTCAGTGTCTGTTATGTACCAACATAAATAATGGATGAGGCACACATGTATAGATGGATCATATAAAGAAGTAAGAGTTGACTGCATTAGGTTTGTTTTGGTTAAATTTCCTCTGTCGGGTCTATGCCTTGTTTTAGCTTTACATTACAAATGCATCAAAGGTTTTGCTGTGTTAGCTCCTACAGTCAGTTTTATCTTTCATTCTCGCGGATTAAACAATTAGAACAATTTTTAGAACTTGTGTTTTTTCATCTTGTATTTCCAGGTCAAAACCATGTTACTTTTACAGACTGAAAACCATTTGATCTTGTGGTATTGAAGGAAACATGGAACTGACTCAAAATAGTTTTTATTTCCCCTGACAGGTCTTGATAAATTTAGCTCCTGAGTTATTCTTGCTGCTCAATGTTCGTGTCATTACTATGAGGACTTAAAAGACTTTTTGTCTCTTTTTTTAGATCCCAAGGATCCCATCGCAATCGAAAGGCTTAACTTGATGAACATGGCCAAACTGAGCATCAAGGGCCTGATCGAGTCTGCTCTCAACCTGGGACGCACACTCGACTCTGACTATGCACCTCTCCAGCAGTTCTTTGTCGTGATGGAGCACTGTCTGAAACATGGGCTGAAAAGTACGTATGTCACACTTCACAATGTTATCTGTCATCTCTTCAAAACGCCATGATCGGTGGTTCTTACAGGTCTGTAAGGATTGAAAATCAAAATGTGGGATCTTGATCACTTTGGTAACTGTCCAGAATACACATCAGATCCACAGTTTGTGTAGTTGTGAGGAATATGTGCAATAACTTTATCCAGCCATCATATTCAAACAAACTAAAAAGATGTAAAAGGGATTAAAATGACAACGTTGCTGATTAAATCTTTTGTATTTACTGAAAACAGAGTACTTATTTTAGTCTTTTCTGTGCACTAGAATAGTTTCTGGTTAGTTCCTGCTGTTTATTTAAGTCCCAAGTGATGACTCAATGACCTGAATTCCTTAAAATAAGATATCTCAACAAACACTGTGTCTCAACCATCAGCTAAGAAGACCTTCCTGGGGCAGAACAAGTCATTCTGGGGGGCGTTGGAGCTGGTGGAGAAGCTGACGCCTGAGGCAGGAGAGATCACTGCCAGTGTAAAAGACCTGCCTGGCCTCAAGTGAGTCTGTTACATCATTTCCCTAAAGAGCGCGGGCAGGTTTCACCCAGTCATAAAGATTTTATTGATAAAATCAATGGGATTGATACAAAGACATGGGAATTATTTCTTTTTGTAGCTGTGTGGAGCTCCTTTTCAAGTTGCAATTGTTTGTTTAAGATTATAAGGAGTTGTTTTTTTTATGTATTATGTTGCAGTTGTTGGGTTTGAGTGTGTTTATATCCGACCTCCCTGTTTGATGACAGAACTCCTCTAGGCAGAGGGCGCGCCTGGTTGCGACTGGCCTTGATGCAGAAGAAGCTCTCCGACTACATGAAGACCATCATCAACAGAAAGGACCTGCTCAGGTGCGTTGGAGTCACACCAGTGCTATCTACAAATAAAACATTTGTGATTGTTATGTCATTTATTATATTTCTTTTTCCACCAAGAAGTGCACATTTAGAAAAGGCCTAAACACAACAGGGTTTCTGTAGGTCTTTAAAAGTCTTCAATAGCATTGTATTCAGTTCCTTCAAATATATATTATTAAAAAATGTACAAGGGTCTTAAATATTTGTCATAGAAGGTGACATTAATTATAATTTATTTGTAATTTAAGAGACATTACAGAGCTGAAGGTCACTGGCTTAAATAGGTCAGGTCAAGATTTCAGCTTAAACATAAATTAGCTTTAATTAATCAATTATTTCTGAATTTGATAATCCATCCGTCACTTTGACTGCTTATCTGGTTTCAGGTCAGATACATTTGTTATATACAGCTGGGAAGTGCTGACAAAAGTGTCCCATTAATCTCAGTAACTGTAGGACTTATATTCCCCACTAGTTTTCCATTATTCATTGACTGGTATGACTCTGAAAAAGATATTTAATTACATTATATGGTATTAAAAGGTTTGAAAAAGTCTTAAATATGAGTGTGAACCCTGCTGAAGCAGTTCTCTGTATTTTCACCCCCGTCTCCTCGCTGTAGTGAATTCTACGAGCCGAATGCGTTGATGATGGAGGAGGAGGGAGCCGTCATCGCTGGACTGCTCGTTGGACTCAATGTCATCGACGCCAATCTGTGTATGAAGGGAGAAGACTTGGACTCGCAGGTTATTCTGACTTTCACTTTCACTTCCACCACGGCACACGAGTAGGAACGAAATCAAATGGGCAGAGGGAGGAAGGGAAGGACATTCATATCTCTGGGTTCTAACACAGTGTTGATGAACCAGATGACGCCTGTCTAAACTGAAATGCTGTAAATGTAAATAAAGATACGAGACGCTGTGAGCAACACAGTTTACTTTTGGGGGGGGGTATTTAGTATTTAGTAAGCACTGGATTTACAGTAGAAGCAAATATTTAGCACCTCTGTGCCATTAGTTCATCTTCATATACATTAAAATTCTTCACATAGAAGTTCTAAAACAAGCAAACTGCTCAGAAATCGCTGCTTCATGCTCGATTAGTTGTCACTTTAGGAACGAGGCCAGAGTCACTGGAGGGACGGGCCAGTTGCCAGTTAACCAATCGTCAGTACAGTGAAGTGAAACCTTTCCTGTAACAAACCTCATGTTAATTTGAGGCTTGGCTGAATTCTAAGATATTGACCTAACCTGAATGCATCTAAACCCTGCTCATCCTGAACTGCTACACGAGCGAGGATCTTTCAGGAATTAGATGTAGTCACGTTATTTTTGTATTTTTGTTCTTTAATATAAAACCTGTGCTTTGGTTTCGGTTGCCATTGATTTTCTTTCTCTTCTTAAATTACCTCTACAGGTCGGGGTGATTGATTTTTCAATGTACCTCAAAGATGGCGGACACAGTAGTAAGAGTGCAGAGGGGTGAGTGCTGCTCCCTGACCTTTAAACCAAAGTCATTGTCATTTCAGTCCATTTTTAATCTGTCCAGCCACCAGCAGTGAAGTCAGCAGTCTTCATCCTCGATCGACTCTTGTCCATCATGGATCGACTTGTTGACATTATATGAGCTTTACTTTTAGCTCTGATGGTTCTAGGTGACGTGGTTTACCTTTAGAAACTGGCCATCAAGTGATAATTTGTCCTGTCACTGGGGCCAGTGATTCTGCCACGTGCTAAATTAGTGTTGATTGTGAGTTGCAGTTTATTAGCTGTTTGTTTGCTTTGCTGAATGAATAGTTTTAAAGAAAAAAAAACTGTGGATACATCAGGGCAGTTAGCACTTATTGATTGTCACTTATTGATTAAACTGCCAGTTATTTTCCTGATTAATCATTTGGTCTGCAGAACATTAGACTGATTGTGTGTCCATCCAAAGATATTATATATATTTATATATATATATATAAAAATGTTGAGACCATGAGAAGCAGAAAATTCACTGATTAATTTTATGTTGATCGACTAGGCAGTTAATTGAGTAATTGTTGCAACTCTACCAGTATGAGACAAGCTTCTATTGATGATTTAAAAAATATTAAATACAGAAAAAGATTTGATTTTTTCTGTTGTTACTCCTGTTGGATTGTTACACCCTCTGCTGCGTCCTTTAGTTTGAAATATGGACTTTCAGTTTCAGTGTAACTGTAACAGCCATGTTTTGATCTGGCTACATCACTAACTATAGAGAAAAAGTGTCCTGGCTCAGTACGGAGCTAAAAAAGAATCTATTTTCTGTGCCTTGCCTATTTTCTCTCTGGGTCTGTTTCACACTTCAACATTTCCCTCATTATGAAAGTGAAATATTAGACGTTCTTCAGGTGGCTGCAATCAGTGATAGACAATTGATCGTTGAAATGATCATGTATGAATTCAAACCAAGGTGGCTAACAGCTAACTACATGTTAGTTAGGTTATGCTGCAGTATCTCTTATTCCATCCTCAACGTGTCATCGTTCATCTCTCTCTCTTTCTCTCTCTCTCTCTCTCTCTCTCTCTGCTCCTTCAGCGACGGTCAGATCACAGCCATTCTCGACCAGAAGAATTACGTGGAGGAGCTGAACAGACATTTAAGGTTCGTCAGATTCACTTCACTCTGTTCACCTTCTTCAGCAGCTCGCCCAGCCTTTACCTCGATCACTGAAGGTGATGTTTCTGTCTGTTTATAGCGCGTCAGTAAATAACCTGCAGGCCAAGGTGGACGCTCTGGAGAAGTCCAACACAAAGCTCACAGAGGAGGTGAGTCTCACAGAGTTCAGTACAAATACTTTATACTTTTTTTCAAATGTCTGCTTCTGCTTCTCTGCACAGCTGCAGGGTTTTTTTTTTTCTCTTTTCATTAAAGAGCTGTTCTGTTGATTTTGTCTGCACAGCTTGCAGTGGCAAATAACAGGATCATCACCTTACAAGAAGATGTGGAGAGAGTAAAAGAGGAGAGCTCATATCAGCTGGAGTCCAGAAAGGTGAACAGATCATCAGTAAAATAATAAATATATGTACAAACAACATACAGTGCTTCTGCTATGAAAGAGAAATGTTGCTTTTTGTCTTATTATACATGTCCCTGTTTTCTTCAGGCGTTAAGAAGCGACTCTGCAGCAGACGGACAAGCGCTGGGCGAAACGCGCAAGCAGCTCAAAGAGGAGACGCTGCTGCGATTGGTGCGTTTAAGGCTCTTAATGATGGTTGTTTAGCTCTTGTGTAGAGCTTGATGCTGCGGTGGAACTGCAAGTGTAGCTATAACTGCTATCACAGTTTCGATTTGGTGTTAAAGTTTTATAGTCACTGAAAAGTTTTTTAAAGTTTCTCATAGTGTGTTTATTCTCTCAGTATTTAGGTGGTGGTTATGCTTCGAACCACACTTTCATTAAGTCTTATTCAGACCTTTTTTGTAACTACATCTTATTGTAGTTTAGCTAAGACATATGCACAGTGTATAATTGACATTGAAGCCTGAGAAATCTGTACATTTTAAATCTTGAATTTCCTGCAGTTGCAGACCTATAGACCTGTATTTTTCTGAGTATGGAGTGTGGCTCTGAAGTTCGAGCTGATGTCTGTGCAGGATGTGGAGAAGGAGCTGGAGGTGCAGATCGGCATGAAGCAGGAGATGGAGCTGTCGATGAAGATGCTGGAGAAAGACATCTGTGAGAAGCAGGACGCTCTGGTGGAGCTCAGACAGCAGCTGGAGGACCTCCGCACCATCAACCAACAGCTCAGCCACAAGTCACAGGTGAAGCTTCATCTCTGATCCTTCCCCAAGTGTTCATTGGTGAAAAGTCTAATACAATTTAGGTGCTAAGCAGCTGCTGCTGTGGCGTTAATTGCGTAGAAAGTAATTTGTAGTTTATTTCTTAAAAAGCTTTTCTGGTGTGAAATTACTTTGTAGAATTTGTTACTTGAAAGATTTAAACAAGTCAATAAAAAATTTTTTTTCACAAGTGGCCTTTACTCACCGCAGCATTTTATCATAAATCTACTCCAAGTCAAAAACAAAATTGAATAAACAAAATCTTGTCTGAAAAGCTGCTGCTTTCCACAGCTGCGTTATTACAGGTCACTCTCACACTCCATCTGAGGTCAGAGCTCATGGAGACGACTCGGCCAGTTAATGAATGAAAAGACACTTTTTTTTAAAACTGAACACGCTGCTGAAACGTTGAAATGAAATAAAAAAAGATCCAAAATATATCCACTGAGTCACTGTTATGAGCTTGAGGGAGGACACCAGCTGACTAACGTGGCTCATCTTCCTCAGAGCGCAGATGCCAGCTCTAAACAGAAGAGTGACGTCATCGCTCGCCTGGAGGAGAAAATAAACCAGATGTCAGGGACCGTAAAACAGCTGGAGACCAGGTGAGGACAGTCACAACAACACAATTATTTATTATTTAAGTTGTGAAATGGTATCACTCACTTAAAAATCTCTTACCGTCCTGTTTGTCATTTTCCCCCTTCACTTTCATTATCATTATTTTTCCTCTATCATTTATTTATCCTTTTTTTTTTTTTTAAATCAGTGAGAAACATTTGGTGAAGCAGGCCAGAAACCTGAACTCAGCAGCAGGGAAGCTGCTCCACCTGCAGCAGTAGTGGAGCCCCTCTGCTCCTTGACCGCTTTCATAAACCCCAATACAAACATACAACCCTGCCTAATATAGAAATAACCAAACTAGGATGTTATCTTTTTTCTGTACAATGCTCCTTTGTTGTTGAAAATAAAAAAAAAAAAACATCTTCCCACAACCTCCTGCAGTGGCTCTCCAGCATCAGCTTTGAGTAGTGTGGACTGAATCGATCCTTTTAGCAGCCTTCAATCCTTGTGTTCTCTGACAGATGTGTGCGCCACATCAGAGTTATACTTTCCTTTGGCAGGCATTTCTTAAAAATACGCCATTAATGCTTTTTTGGCAAAGGCAAGATGAGTAGAAAGTCCATCGTGGACAGTTTTAAGATGATGATTTATGTGCCAATGGACACATCCTGGGTATTTGTGCGGTAGTGGACTCGCTGTAATGTTATTCCGAAGAATTCGACCACTACCAGAGACTGTGCTTGAACATTTTCAACCAACAAAGACTGACAGAATAAAAAAATCTAATAAATCAGAGAGACAGAATCCGAACTGATGTTTAGGGATTGACATCCAAGAACTTTGTTGTCATTTGGTAAATCACGTTCAAGTGTCGCAGGCCAGGACAGGAGCAGGATAAAGTCAGAAGAAAAGGGCAAAATTAATTTATTAATTTTGAATTGTATGTGAACATAACATTGGTGTAAACTGTAGTAATCATTAGGCTAATAAAACAATAAACAAAAACGGCCCGCTTCATCTTCTTTGGCTAAAGTCTCCCTGTTGTCCTCGTTGGGTTTCACTCTTTAGATCTTTTTAATTTTAGTTTTAGAAGACATCTCTTACCAACCGTGTTTCTTTCCATCAAGTTATTCTTTTATCATAAGTTTGTGTTAACCCGCTCACCCCACACCAGATGCAAACAGGCTGAGAGAGAGAGGGATCTGGCTGTCGAGGCGAACCGGCTCTTCAAACAGGAGTTTGGAGACAAAATTGAGAGTCTGCAGGTGGAGGTGGAGCAGCTGAGGAAACACAGGTAAAGTCTGAGAAACATGATGCCTTTAATGTCTTTTTTTTTTTTTTAAAGGACAACTGGTGATATTCTGTAGTTTTTTTTTTTATCGTCAACAAATCCATCATATATCTTAACACATCAATGAGTCGGGCTGTTGCACTGGGTGACGTGTTTCTTCTGCCACAGATACTCATTAGAGCGTTACATGTGTTTTAAGTCCCACATTTTCCTCTTCTTCTGTGTTTTATTTGAAGTGTTGATCCATAAGAAGATATATTTGTGGTTTTAAGAACCAAAAAACATCTCAGTGTAGTTTTACATCTCCTCTCTCAGGCTTCTCTCTGGAGCTCTAGTAACAACAGGTCGGTGAGCCAATCAGAAGAGAGAGAAGCTCTGAGCCTCTCCTCTGATTGGCTGACTGTTTTCTGAGTGATCTACTAAAAATATCAGATTTCAGGTAAAAACACTCAGAGAAACAAAATCCTGCAAAGCTGAATGCCGGGTGCAGGTGGACCGTGCTGGGGGCATGGTGGAGGGTGGCGACTGTTTCGTTGTGACATCACAAAGTTACAGGAAGTCCTGACAGCTGGTTTTAAGGCTCAGTTTCTGAATACAGGCTGTGTGCATTTCTCTGTGGACTGAGGCTTTGATACTTTCACAGTATTAATATAGAACCTAGAGCTGATCTATAATCAAACAACACATGGACAAAGACCTTTATACAATATGGGACCTTTAATCCACTGTTGAAAACAGTCACCAACACATTCAATATTTCCTCGTGTTTGAGTAACATTTGCTAAAAACTACAGTTCCCAGATTTGAATGTGAATGAAACTAATATCCGTGAGCTGTTTTTAAAGATTTACATCCTCAGTAGGAAACAGTGGCTTGTGGCCACAGTGTGAGTGCCAGAGGATTGAAAGATGAACCAAAACGGTGTTGGTTTTGGTCTCTTTGGATTTGTTGGCTAAAATAACAACAAAAAAAAAAGTGTATCTCCAACCGTATCCTTTAAACCACAGTCACTGTCAAGTTAATTGTGATTTATAGAGCTTCATGCCTGTGTTATTGTTAGTGCAGCTGTTAAACAAATTGAAGCCCCTACACCTCCCACAGTCCTGACAGTTCCTGTCGTGAGGATGATGTTAATGCTTGGGTCAAAGAGTTTATTCCCGGCTTTACCGAGGAGGATAAACATTAGTTGTGACTTTAGAGCTGAAATGTGCCCACCTACTTCTTTAGCAGCCTGGGTGCCAGAGGGAGATGTCTTATTCATTTTCTCCTTCATTCTGAAAATAATCCCTTCATGTGATTTTGAAGGGTCTGAACCAGCTACAGATTCTGTCCCAGTTAACGCTTATATGTGTGAGAAATGGGAATAAAGGCAAAGCTGTTTTTAACATCTATAATTCTTGTCCCATAACTGCACCTCTCCCAGACGTGAGTGCATCTTACATATTGTTTATCAGTTGTTAATATGAACACGTTGAGGTATTTTGCCCTCCAAAATAAAGTATTTCCTGCTTGGAAAAGAAGCAGAGCAGGTGCAGTAGGTAGCTGGTCTGAGTCGAGGCCCTTCATTAACTTTCCAAAGGTTCCCGGAGCGAAAAGTAGTTGTTTTGAGTCTGTGTTTACCCACCTTTATTAAAAATAGCATTTTCATTATAGAACTGAGCTGAAGATTAGAGCTGAAATAATTGGCTGATTAGTCAATGGACGGAAGATGAATTGGCTTGATAACTGATGAATCATTCAAATCTTTTTTGAAGGGAAAAATGTCAAAAGTTCACTTGCTCCAGCCTTAAAATGTGAATATTTGTTTTCCTCAGTTTCTATTTAAGTAAACTCAAAGATGTTTTACTTGTCAGACAAAAAAAAAGACATTAGAATATGTTTAGTTGGGCTCTTAACTAACGTTTTACAACCTGAACAATCAGTTGATTTTTAAAGAAAATACCCGTCCGACCTGTTGATGATGAAAGGAATCGTTGGTTGCAGCTTTGCACTTCGTCTGTGATGGAATGAATCTACCTTACCTGAGGCTTTCTGTGTGTTTATTACCAGACACAGGAAATAAAAATTAAAACACAACTTCAAAACAAAGTTGCATAATATAAACTAAAACAGTACCGGTCTTAAAACTAGATTCTGACACAGTCCCTCTGCAAGACCAGGGTCACATGATAGAGAATGGAGGATCAGTCATAGCTGATATTTTAATTTAATGATACAAATTTCCTACAAGTGGATTTAATCAAATTATTTAAGATATGAAGAGTAAACCTGGGGGCCCCTGGCGGTCTGGGTTCACAGCTTTAAAGCTTCTCTGGTGATTTAGAATAGTGATGTAGTGCTTCACCAGTAAACTGGGAATAACCCCACCAGCAGATCCCGCATCACATGCATGTAAGATGTACTGTGATGTGGGGTAAAATGTAAATGTAGGTGACGCTACTGTCAGTTTATGTTTATGTTACAGTAATCATAAATCATTTGAGAATTTTACTGCATTTTCTTTTGGATGTTAATCATCAGAATAAGTCTGGTGATTTGTATTCTGTGCGTCTTGTTGTTTATTAATCTGTTCCCCGCTTTGTCTTTGTCTTTAATGTTGTTGTTTCAGGTCTAATCTGGAGCATGAGCTGAGAAGAGAGCGAGAGCGAAAGAGCGAGCATCATCACCTCAACGCCGCATCCAGACAGCCCAGTACTCCTCAGAGGGAGAGGAGACAACCGGAGAACATACCGAGAGTACGTCTGTGCTCACGTTTACACCAAAGTAAAGAGCGGTCGAAAGCCGAGGCAGAGCTGTGTACTTGGACTTTGTACATTAAGCGTCTTTTTTCCGACAGAATCTTCCAGAATCCCCATCAGTGAAAAGGGAGAGTGACCAGTTACACAGTGGACAGGAGGACAAAACCAGCCTGAGCTCCAGCCTGTAAGTAGTTCAGAATCTACAGTTTTAGAAACATCGTTAATGTTATGAAAAAAGATCTTGACTTTTTTCATGTCTCACTTCTCCCTTAAGGTCCTTGTCACATCATGAGGACGAGCAGGTGAGGATTTTACCTTTTAAAACAGCCTCTGATTTGATTTTATTACGTGATGAATAAGATTCAAATGTTAAACCTTTATACATTATATTATTTATACACTTTTCCCAACTAATTTTGCAGCAGCAGATATGTTCTACTAACCAGATTACATTTTCTATTCACATGAGGAAATGTTAATTTATGTATCCGGCGACTTTTGAATATGTAGATAATGAATGAATCAGTAAAATGTTCACTCCCGGTGTCCCAGTATCTGCTTGTCGTGACTGCAGCATCATTACATTGTTTTTTTTTTAATGGTTCTGTTTAGACTCTCAAGGCTCTTGGTTCAGGTACCTCCCAGTAAACCCAGTGCAGTTCATAAACACATTGCCTGCTGAAAACAGTCTACAGTAGGTAGAGCTATCACTTAAGTACAGTATGTGTTTATTGAAGTAATGAGATATTGCTGTTTTACTGGTTTTTCTGCAGGACGAGTCCTTCGTGGAGATCAGCCATCCCTCCATGTGTACGATGTGTGAACAGGACGAGTCCCTCCTGAAGACGAAGGTACAAAGATTTCTAACTAAAAGTTACAACATTTATTTATTTAAACATATTTGATCCAGACTGTCTGAAAGTATTAAACACATGGTTTTCACGAGGTACAGGGAGGAAGAAGAGCTTTAATAATCGGGTGTTTTCATAAATGACAAATGATTTATGTATTTGTTTATTTAATCTATTTATTTTCTACTTCTTTTTTGAAAGATTGATAATTGAGTAGTGGAGAAGGGGGTAGGTTTAAATAAGCATATGCTTCATCCTACTCCTTTTCAGACATATTGGGTTCACATTATTATTTTTGTTTTGACTATTGTTATTGGATTTATTTGTTTTTCAGTTTACTTTGTTGTGTTACTCGCACATGTTCGAAATAAACTAAATAAACTAAACTAAATTAACATCATACAGGCACTTGCATTGTAATGGAAGAGGCTGAAAACATCACACGACCTGTTTCCTCATGGTGAGATAACATGTTGATGTTTTCATACATTTTTAACTCGAATCAGAAACATACTGACAACGATTTTAATGCAAGGTTTGAGCAGAAGCATTTTTAGACAAAGTATAATGTCTCTTTAGGAAATCAGCTTGTTTCGACCTGCATTTCCCACAAACGCCGAATTGATTTCGAATGGTTTTGAGGGCACCCCTCTACTGAACTCAGTCATACAGCTTTATGCATCTCCTCTGCCACTGTGTTACTCCAAGGACTTCAAGTCTGTCATTGCCATCCCAAAGAATCTCTTGAAGACTCATCCAAGTGTCTTGTTTCTTGAGCCTCCTGGTTTTCAGATGTGAAGCTCTAGTGATGTGTTTCTCTCTCGAATCAACACTTACTTAGTTTACTGTCAGCTGAAGACACGTCCGACGTCTCCGACTGTGGTTTATAATTCTGTTTTCCTCCCTCCAGAAACAGTGTAAGAACTGCAGCGGCGTTTTCTGCGAGAGCTGCGTGTCCAACGAGCTGCCGTTGCCCTCCTCCATCCTCCCGGAGACTGTGTGCACCGCCTGCTACTCCCTGTTACTCCAGCAATACGCTTCAACGCCGACATGAGCACACTCGGACACAAATTGACCGGACAACATGGAAACCAGAGGCATTGATTTGTAAAACTGGCACTGCGAAAATGCACTTTTTCAATTCATGGCTTCAAATGTCGTGACAGATCTGAGTCCTGAATTCTGTGGGATATTTTAATCACTTTTAAGTCAGCAGTGTCCAAACGTGCAAATGTGTGCCATTGAGAGCTGTGCGTGTGCAGGTTTTTTATTTTAGCCAAATACTGTTGTGGTCATAAACCCTCTCTTCTGTTTGAAAGTGTGTGTTGGGCTGCTGTGGTATTTTTTATATTTTTTTTCCAATGGAAACCTGCACTAACGCAGCTGAAATGGCACAAAAAACAGGAATCATCTCATTCATTTAAAAACTGACTCTCCACAGCGTCCACTGAGTGGATTATTGATGAAAAGATCAACTGACAATATTTTTAACCTCAGTTTTAAAAGATTTAAAAAGAAGGAAAAACTGGATTTTTCATAACAGTTTCATCATATACCAATAAGAATATCTATGTGGTGATCAATGAATGTTCAACATGGAACCAGATTCAGGGGAAAACTGACAAAATCATCACACCTTTGACCAAATACAATTATATAGAACATGTCAGTATTTAAAGCTTTTTACACAACAGAAGAATGTTGTAAAATGTTAATTTCACTGAGCCTAATGAGTTCACGCAAACATTTAAGACCAGGAAAAGACAAATATTTAAGTTACACCACGATATTATAACAGGAATATTGAAATTATATGAGCAGTATACTAAAAATCTAGTCTGTTATCATAATATTGATGTGTTCAAATTTTCAGAGGGATAATTCACCATTTCATATTTGCTTTTTTTGATAAGTTAGATGAGAACTCTCATGTCTAAATATGGAGCTGATGGTTGGCTTAGCTTAGCATAAAGACTGGAAATACATGGAAACGGCGAGCCTGGCACCTGTCCTGCAGACACAAAATCCACCTATAGGCACGTTTGAAGCTCACTAATTAACACGTTGTGTCTCGTTCTTTAAAATTTGTATAAAAATCAAAATGTGAAAATGACGTGTTGAGGGTTCATGAGGATTATGTGTCAGGACTACTTCTTGGCTGGGAGCAGTAACATCATGAAGGCTGTGTAAGGTTGGACTCCAGGAACTTGTTTTTTTTTTTTTTTTATTAAAAATTATATTCACATATTAAACAAAGAAGATATAAAGTGTTAATTTGTGAGCTTTAGAGCTGCCAGTAGGTAAATGTTTTACCTTTGGACAGACTCAGGCTAGCAGTTTCCCCCTGTTTACAGTCTTTATGCTAAGCTAAGTGGCATCTTACTACAGCGTCACATTTAGCGTACAGATATCAGCCGCATCTGTGTTTGAAACAAAGCAGATCAATTATTTCCCAGAATGTCTTGACTTTCCTAGTTTACAAAGCTGAATATTGTGGGTATAATATTTCTTTACTGTTGTTGGCATTAACAAAAACAGCTAAACACTCACTTCAGAGTCTGGTTTATCTTATCAGCAGTGCGGCATTTAGATTGTAGTCTGGATCATCTAACCTTTTTTTCTGGGCATCTTAACATATGACAGCACTTTGAAATGCATGGCTCTGCCCGCCTGGGTTGAAGTGAGCGTATCAGCGGATCTTTATAACAGCTACTTTTATGTTTTGTTGATTTCTATGAGGAAAAATTAGAAGCTGAGCAAAAGCAGTTAAAATTTTTAGTCCCGGTGAAGCTAATTAACATGTGATATGGAAATGCTTTGTAGATCAACAATAAACTTTTATTAAATTTTACCGGTGTATAACTTTGGATTATTTGTGATAGGGAGAAATTCTTATCATCGTTGGTCGAGGTTTTCTGATGGAGCCCAGGATGTCTTACGCTGAGGATGCTTACTGAAGCTCGGAGGGAGGAGGAAGGAGGACTCATCAGTACAGACTCCTGTGCATGATGTCAGTCTTTGTTCTCTTAGAGGGATTACTATAGATAGCTTACACTCCATAATTGGTCAAATATCTAAATGGAGAAGCAGGGAGGGATGTGTGAATAGACTATTGGTCCATTAACCATAAACAAGGAAACTTGATTATACACGCCCAGGTGCTGATTCTCAGGACACCCAGCCACTTGTTACTGACCATCCAAGGTCTTCTGTTATCAACCCTGGCACCAACAGTATCGCCTGAGCGTCTCAAGGCCTGTAGGATTTAATGCAGTAGCTGTGGCTCAGCGACCAGTCATTCATTAGGTAGAATATTTTTCACTGTGCAGGATGTGATGTGTTTATTCCTTTTGAATTTGCGCACACACAAACATTTAAAAAAAATTTTTAAAAAGCTGTGAGGTAGAAGTGGGAAGCTGATAAAAACTCAGCACCTAAACTTTCCATTTCACTTCACCCACACATCTAAACAAAATACATTCTCCTGCAGTTTTACCAGCCAAAAACCAAAAATCTCACACAGAAATACACTGGCCAGCTTTTACACAGGGTCAAGTGAATTCAAAAATGTTAAAAAATTAAATTTAAAATTTGATTTGAAGTCCAGCTGGAATTAAACTTGAGTGTCATTAACATAACCAGCGTGGTGCTGACTCACTCACAGTTTCTCAAACCTGAAATAAGTTGGAATAATTAGCTGAAACCTGTTTGCAGTCCTCAGTTCTGTTATCTGCTGTATAAATGAAAGCGAGACTGTAACTGCGCCAATATCAGGTTTCACAATTCTACAGAAATTTACGAGAAGTGTTTCAATTCTCTTTTCTTGTTTTCACTCAGTTACAGCGCTGTGCAAAAGTTTTTAGGCACTTTAGATGTTTTGTTTTTTATCCATCATGTCATGCCACCTGGGAGGAATCTCATTAGTCCCCAATTATTATTTTTTTTCCAGACAAAAGTAAATTTATTTTAAATATACATTTTTCATCTTGAGTTTTTATCCTTCATATTTCTTCTTTTCTGGTCCTTATTTTTCAACAGGTTCAAACACAAACTCACCCAATGTTTCTGCCTCTTTGCTTCCTGGAGCATTTTGTCTTATGACCTGTTGGTTAAACAATTCTCAATTCTCTATTTTGACAAAATTAACATGAGAAATTATTTGAATGTGTCAGTTTTTAAGTGACTCCTCCTCTTCTCATTATCTGCTGGACATCAGATTATAGACTTAACATTTTGTGCCACATCTCAACACTATAAATCTTTAGTAACGTAACACAGAATAATAAATCTTCAGGACTTGCTCCTGTTAAATGAAGACAGGTCAGGTTGTTCCTTTGACACCAGGAATGTTTATTGATTGAGATTCACATCAGACTGGAAAATAAATGCAATAGTCTTGTGTGTGTGCTCGGCATCCGAGTGTCAGCGTTCACCTGCCAGAGAAAGTACAACAGGTTAAATCACATGTGGAGGGGAGGTTTTAAAACCAAATCTAATTTTACAAAAGAAAAGTGGCACAGAGACAAAAGTGTGATATTATTTTGTTCCATAAAAAGATGGAATTTCTCACTTCGGTGTTACAGTGATCCGGCTCAGAGAAACCAGTTCACCTGCTTAACCGTCTTTAAGAGACGTAGAAATCTGTCTCTTTGTGTAACCTCCTTATACATGTGTATTAATTAACCTCAAAACTGTGGGTCTGTAGAGTGTTTTTCCTTTGTAAGAAGCCAAAACGTTTAAATCCGTGGATCTTATTCTGTGTTTCTCACCTTCTGTCAGAGTCTGATAAAGAGTTCAGGAACAACTCGACGAATCTGTCTCCTGAAAAATAGAGAAGGGTCCGACGTTGAGTCAAATTCTCACAGCAGTGATTATTATTTACTGTTTATATTACATACTGTATTATATTAGTATATATTATATACTATTTACATACTGTATCATATTATAATATTGACTTCAGCTGATATTCAATAATAATGAATTTCGGGATATTTCCTGTGATATGTTTTTGTGCAGTTTTGCACAATGAACACCTGAAACATAAAATACAATAATAGAACTTTGCATTATTAAAAAATCAGCAATAAATGATCTTTTTTAAAAACGTGATAATATCATATATCACAATATTTAGCTTGGACTGTATTGAGATATTACATTTTGGATATCGCCCAAGCCTGTTATGAATATAATAATTAGTGTCTGATATAACACAGACCAGAAACACTTTTATTATTAGTATTATAGGAGACCATTACCCTGCTCCAGAGATCTGTTGACAGTAAATCTGAAGCATACGATCCATACTTTTGTTAAATGTCTCTTTGATTTTCAGTTTCAGCTACAAATGAAAATATACAGTTCAGTATAAACCTGCATACCTCAACCCAGGCTGCACAATCTTTTCAATGTGTCATATGTTTATAATCTGAAACTGAACCTGCATCTGATTAGACATAATACAAAAATATATATCTGTGGTGAATGTATAACCCCAGTCAAGAATATTCAAGCTTTGTATGAGGATAAATACCAAATGACTCAGTAATGGCCACCTGGGTTTAGCCTTTTCTCTCTCTCATGTTGTTATATAAATGCCAGCTGTAGACGAGATGCCGTCAAATTTTTAGATCCTTCAGAGTTTGTATGTGCACCTGTCATTTAACTGACTGCAAAAACTACACAGGAGTGAAAGCCTTACATCCTTGGCAGTAGTACTGATGACAATATTAGACGTGCATATGTCAGCAAATAACGCGATATTCAATATTATTGAATATAAGCCTATTAGCCTAATTGGTTTATTGCTCAAACATCCTGAAAAACAGATAGTAAATATCTGAAAACTTAGGAGCAGTCACATACTCAAATACCTGATCTGATCTGTTCTCTTTTGAATATTAAAAAATACACAGATTCATGTACAAAGACATTAAGATCAGCATCAGATAATAATTTCTGTTTTTAAAACACATCAGCTGGTCCTGGTGTTCAAGTCTCTCCAACAGTCTCACCTATGTACATTCTGTCTTTGGACATGGCGGCCACGGCGTCCTGGTGGCAGCTGAAGTAAACCTCTGCCTCGCCGCTCGGCTTCCCGTCGGGACCACATTCAATCAGGATCTTGGACACGACTAGAGGAGAGAAGAACTGCAGCATAAAAACAAACATTAGAAAATCGCAAGAGCACAATCAGCATCTCACTGTGTTTACTTTCTTTATCTATTACCTTCACAATGTCTTCTCCGGACACCTGGAAGGGAAGACCTCTCATGTGGACGTAATGAGGCGGCACGGCTGAGCTCTGACGGTATCCTGATGGAGCAGACACGTCCGTTTTTAGAGGCAAGAGACACAGACAGCAAAAATGATCTCCTCACTTTACCACTGTGTAATCACCTAGTTCATGTGTCATTTGGACTTTAATCTCCATTTAAAAATATCATCCCATTAGTTTGTTTTTTTCCAAAATTCCACTGAAAATTACTCTCAAGGAATAAATCAGTTTAAACCACAAGAGTAAATGAGCTACTGATAACGCACCAAAGTCCCTCGAAAAAATAAAGAGTTAAGCCACATTTATCCCTCAGTTTTTTTTAAAAGTAATAAACACCATGTGATTTTATAATGAGCTCTAAAATCCCCTCACCAGTTTTGGGGTTGGTCTGTGGGGCGGAGACGGTCCTGTCCGCTGGATGAGTGCTGGTCTGAGGAGAAGCTGAACTCGTCCTCCTCCTCCAACTAGAGAGAATCTCACTGCTACTGCTGCGAAACACCTCGATGTATCTGCAGATATCACGAACAGCACGGGAAGAGCGGCAAATGAACAAATATGGCCGCAAAGAGAAGAAGCGCACGGTAAAAAACTGTTGAAAGAAATCAGTTACTTCTGCTTCTATGCTGACGGGATTATGAGGCTGGTACAGGCCTGTGTCTGCAGTATCCTACCGGTTTCCTATGACCTCTCTGTCTCTCTGCAGAGCTTGACTGGCTGATTCCTGCGAGGAGAACTGCACAAAGGCATCCCCACTCCTTCTTCCTCTGTAGTCTGTGATGAGGGTGATCCCGTTCTCCATTATATCCAAACCTGCAAATTAAAGCAAGATTCTGAGCTTTAGTCTTCTCGTTAAAATATCTCTAAAGCGCGCTGTGTCTCATTTTAAAAAAGGGTTTTCAGTAACTTGTAGTGGCCAAAGGGAAAGATTTCTAGAAGTATCGATACAACTTTTCTCCCCCTATGGTAATGCATTAAAAACCTAAATGTTTCAACTAACTAAAAAAAAATGATGATCTTTTTAACATCCAGTGTTTCCACCACATCTGCAGGTGGGAGAAATCTGAGGCGGTTTACCTGAGAAAAACTGGGCGACGTCGGCCTCAGCGCAGGTGAAGGGGAGACCTCGGAGCCGCACCACGCAGTCATCAGCTGGAGCCTGGAGGGCATTCCTCAGGATGGTTTCAGCGTCGCTGTTCGTCACCTCATACACTGCAAACACACACACACACGTGACATGTGCATTTGGTTTCATAGTTTCAATAGTAATACTTGAGTTAGTCATTGCTTTAAATGGTGTTTGTGTGTTAGAAGACTGTTGGATTGGTGATCTTCTGTCATTTAACCTTTTAAAAATACTTTAGCCTCGGTGGTGCTACTTCACGTGTGTTTTGGTCTGTACCAGACTGAGTCTTCACACAACCTTGACAAATTATACATGAACTGAAAGCTCAAAGTCTCATGATTCTATTCCTGCAGAGTATTTTATGATCCACGTATCAATGCAACAGCTGTCCACACAGAGTTGGTGGTTGGTTTATACCAAAAAAAAAACAAAAAAAAAACATAACATGTCCACCATGTTTTTTGCTTCCGTATCTTTGGTTCAGCGTCTCTAACACTTATTCTGATCATTTGTTACCTTTCAAAAGGAGAGCAGGGTTTTGACTCTAACCAAACCAAAGAACCTTTTTATTTTGGGTACATTATTTTCAAGCCTGTGCACAAAAATGGAGGTGTCTGTTAAGGGGTTAATGAAACAAAAAATAAATGTTCGACATCTTAAAATTACATTTACACACCTATTTTGTTCGTGCATTTGCATTAAATCTTTACAAGACGCCATATCAGGACTAGTTGATCTCAGTGTGACAGCATCAGACGCTGGTCTTGGCCACAAAAAAAAAAACAAAAAAAAACAAAACTGGTTAATAAAAGCTTTAACACAAACAAAAAGACACAGGCCCAAGATTTGTAAACTCATTCAGGAGATTTCTAAAGGTACCTGTGAAGCCCAGTGTTGTTTCTGCAGAACAAACCACACGTCTTCATTTAAATCTGAAGCTGAACCACGGTGTGAAAGGTTTGTGATGTCGGATCCTGGACTGCTTCCCTCCAGGCTCTACAAGCAGATGTACTGAGCCGCATATAAGAGTTTCACAAAGAGACGAACCTTCAACGTATCGTGGGCCGAGGTACTGTCTATGCTTCTCTAGAGCTTTGCCAACATCCGCCTCGTGCTCCATCTCGATGAAGGCCCGCCCGGACGGCCTTCCCAGTCTGTCCACGGTGAGGTGGATCCCCTTCACCCCGTCACGGATCCTGCACTCTGCACTCACAGCACATCGGATCAGGACAAATTATGAATTTCAATGCACAGCGCACGTGACACCAGAGCTTTTGACTTAGCATAAACATTTTTGTTGATGATTGACGATTAAGATATATTACAGTTGGACAATAAATAGATGAAACTGACATTTTGCCCATCAATCTACACTGTTTTTCGCCAGCTGCCATATCAGTTGGGCTTTACATCGTGAGTGAAAATACAAAGTCTCACCGGAGAAGAACTGCAGCAGGTCCTGAGCCGAGCACGACCATGGGAGACCTTTCACCTTTATGATGAACACCTCCTTCTTCTCTGGCTCTGAATCAGCCTGGTAGGCCGGCAGCGGTGGGTACTCGTCCTCACACGGACCTCCTGCCTGGAAGACAAGGTGTGAAATACAAACATTCACAAACCTGCTGAAGCTTCCACTGGCTGTTTAACGCTGGTCTGACAAACTGAAATCAGACGTAGCTGTGTTGTTGTTGTTGTTGTTGTTGTTGCACTTTATTCGGAACACCTGCTTATTCATGCATTTATCTAGTCAACCAAATCACGTGGCAGCGGTGTAATCCTGCAGATACAGGTCGAGGAGCTGCAGTTAACAGTAACATCAAACACCAGAAACATCCAGTGAGCAGCAGATCTGTGGACAGAAACACCTTGCTGATAGGAGAGGTCAGAGGTCAATGACCAGACTGACTGGAGCTGACCGGCAACGGTAACTCAGATAACCACTTTTTACAACTGTGGTGAGCGGAAAAGCTTCTCAGAATCAATGACATGTAGAGAGCAGAAATGTGAGGCTGCAGTGAACACTGGCTCAGCAAAACTGGACAGTTGAAGTCTGTAAAATGCGGCCGGGTCTGATGAATTTGGATTTCTGCTGGACGCTAGGGTCAGAATTTGGCATCAAGAGCATGAACCCATGAAACCAACCTGCCTTGTGTCTACAATCCGGGCTGGTGGTGGTGGTGGTGTAATGTGTAATGGTGTGGCGAATGTTTCCTTGGCCCGCTTTGGGCCCTTAATACCAATCAATCACAGTACTTTTGCTGACAGCGGGCATCCCTTTATGGCCACAGTTCACCATCTTCTAATGGCCGCTTCCATCTTAACGCTCCATGTCACAAAGCAAAAGTCATCTCAAACTGGTTTCATGAACATGACAATGAGCTCAGTGAACTTCAGTGGTGTGATGTGGTAGAACTGGAGATTGGCAGCATGAACGGGCAGCTGGCAAGTCTGCTGAAAGGAGTCTCAAAGGAATAGAATTGAGGCTGGTTGAGAGCAAAGGGAGAACTATCCAGTATTAGTGTGGTGTTCCTAATAAAGTGCTCAGTGAGTGTTTATTTTGTATTTATGATCTAAGATCTTGACGTGACTAATAACTTAAATTATCAAATAAATGTAATGGAGTAGAAAGTAAAATATTTCAATCTGAAATGTAGTGAAGCAGATGTTTAAAGTAGCATTAAATACAAATATTCAAGTAAATACTAAAGTCCCGCCCCCCTGTTTGACAGCACCTGGCTCACAGTCATCTCCCACCACTTCACCTGTCTGAGACTCACCTTGGTACTGAGGCTGAGCTTGCTGGTTCTGACCGCGGACTGAAGCTGCCAGAGTCTCTTCACACAGCTTGTCCGGCACGTCGATGTCCATGTTCGCTGCTGAATGAAGCCGCATCCGGATGACAACACGCCGCGTCTTGTTGTGACACCGGCCGGTAATGTTAGCTGCCTGACTGCGACACACCGTTGCATCAAAAACAATAGAGACTTACTGTGACCGGACATATTGGCTAAGCTAACGCATCAGAGCGGAAGTGTTTGAAACGAGAAAACGCAGATATCCGAGCGGTTAGAAGTTTATTTTTCTCTGAATTGAGTCAGTTAGTTTCACTGGCTTCCAGTTTAGCATGAGGTTAGGAAGCTGACTTACTCACGTGGGTCAGTCAAGGTCGTAGTTTTGACGTAATTTTAGCATCGGTATGCTTTTGACATCCGGTTTTTATTTTTTTCAAAATAAAAGTCGAAACATCAAACAATGACAAACTTAAATCTTGATCACCAAACAAAGCTAATAAATACTGTAAAGTAATTTTTTTTGTAAAATCACACAAACACTATTGCTACCATTTAAGTTTTTTTTTTAAAATGTTACATTTATTGATTTTATCCTGTAATAAACAACATTGATCTTACACAGCTGTCCAAATATTCACAAAATAAAATAAATAAAAAAGAACTGAAGGAAAACTAAAATATTAAAGTAAACTATATTAGTATGATACAGAAATGAACAAAAATGTGTAATTCAAGGAACACTTACTACCTGTTAAATATATCTCATGATCTTCATCTTCATATTATAAAAGATGTTTTCCTTTTTTTTTTAATTATGAAAATTATGTAACAAGTGAGTAAAAGTAAATTTAAAAAAAGCTTGTTTTTTCTGAGTAATACTCCTCTACTTCTTTTACCTTTTACAGATGGAATAAAACAATACTTTTGTCAACAGTTAGGCACAAGTGTACCAGTTGAACTAAAAAATAAAGTAGTTAAATAAATAAATAAACTATAATGGCAGGTCTGCTATTGTTAACTCATACACAACCACTTTTAAAAAACATGCAAGCAAAAGAGTGTTTAAATGCCTCAGATTGTATCAGTTGGTAGACTTAATCACTTCTTACATTATTATTATTATTATTATTATACTATTATAATGTAATACAATATTATTAGCAGTAGTAGTACTAGTAGTAGTAGTAGTAATTATACTTCATTTTATTATTTTATTTTTGTCTCTTTAGCGTCGAAGGCTACAAAGGATGTGATGGTGGTGCAGACTCTTGCAAACTTGACAATAATTTTCTCCCTCAAGTACTTCCCCCCTCTCAGTCCCTCTCTTTCACTCTGTTAATGTTTCACGTACACTGCCATCTAGAGGTCAGGATGGCATAAAAATCCTCGTTATATCTTGTGTGTCATATCAATGGAACAATTTTCATTCCTCCAACTCATCCAGTCACTCAGAGGGACTTTAATTCTGGTTTTGAGGCAGTAACAGCACAGAGATGTTTATCAGGAAAAACTCATTTAGATGGTGCTGAGCACTCTGAATCTGCACGTCGTGCCCCATCACACGTGTGCTATTACACACCAAACTCCCTGGAAGACTAAAACTGTCCATTTGTAAGTTAGTTTTGGTTTCAGCTGCAGCAGGAGACAGTTTAATTAGTTCTGATTCTGAATAGATAAGATTAAATGAAATTTTAATCATGTCCATGGGGAAAATGTGTGATTACAACAGGACAAAACAGGATGTTTTCCAGAAAGGAATATGACATTTGTACCTATATTATGTTCAGTGCTTCTGCAGTGGGAATGAGATGTGAATGTAGTTTGATAGTCACACTGTGGACTGTTGTATATTATTAAAATGTATATATTTGGTAAAACATACAACTCATTATTTATAGGAGACTTTGTCATAGCGTGATTACAAAGACATGCTGAATGGTCTTTTATTCACACAAGAACAATCACCATGAAAAATCTCTCTGCTAATGTTAGGTCTGCAACTAACGAGTATTTTCATTAACAATTAATCTGCCAATTGTTTTCTTAATTAATCATTTTGTCAGTAACATGTCAGGAAATTGGGAAAAATATCCATCATGATTCCTCAGAGCCCAAGATTAGACACTCAGGGGTCTGACCAACAGCCCAAATACCAAAGTTATTGAGTTTACAGCGATATAAAACAGAGCAAAGCTTATATGTTAATTGAGTTTGTCATCAAGTAACTTGTTTTATCTGATGAGCAACCAAAACCCAAATGTATTCAATTCACAATGATACACTAACATAAAATACAAAATACAATACTAAGTAAAGTGACTTAGGTGATTCATTAATCATCAATTACCTGTGGCTCAGCAGGTAGAACAGGTCGTCCACTAGTCACAGGGTTGGTGGTTGAACTCCAGCTCCTCCTCTCCACACATCGAAGTGATACTCCAAGATACTGAGCTGTAAATTGCTCCTGATTGTCAGACCAGTGCCCTGCATGGTAGCTCACTGCCACTGGTGTGTAAGTTTTTTTGTCTGTAGACAGGTAGAGCCCAGCGCTTGGACTGAAACAAAAACAGGAGACATATGGGTAAACTAAATTACAAAGTAGTTTATTTATAATAAAATCATCAAAAGAAACACAGAGAAATAAATGATAAAAGTCAGTAGCGGAGGGAGTGGCTGAGTAGAAATGTTCTGTGTGGATGTTGTGCTGTAAAAACAAAGACAAGGAAAGAAAAACCACAATGCAGAATGGTGTAGGATGAGGAGATGTTGCTGCTGCTCTGGCTTACATCCATTGGGGACACCGGGCCCAGGCGTGTCCCATGCCACTGATTAAACTCTTAATTGGTCTGCAGCCTTGGAGACGCAAAGCATAGAAACATTGGAGGAAACCAAGCAGAGAGACTGTCACAGGACCAAGCAGTTAACTCACAAGACTCAGTTTTGGGCCTCCTTGTTTTCTTAGAACACAAAATCACACCTCTCTCATTACATCCACCAAATTCCTGACTATTGCAGCACCTGCTCAGGGGTTGGTATCTTGACAGGACGGAGGTCTCTCACCCCTTCCTTTGAACTTCCTCTAAGTCAAGGAAGTGTCGATATCTGCTGCAGACCGATGTTTTATTATATATATTTACTCCAGAACTGGATCAGTTCATGCTCTCAGTGATGTGTTTGTATACTGGTGTTGTTGAGCTGCAGACACAAACACACACAGCAATGAGGTTTTTGAGTATTTCTTCATTGCACTATGCAGCAACAGTGGAAATCTAACTGTAACTATAACTGACATATTACACATATAAAATCATTATATTCATTAAATAATCATTAATTGCATTCCTATATTGTTCCAGCTTCATTAGAAGTGAATGTTCAGATAGTTTCCAGATAAGTCATATGACCGAGCCTTAATTCCTCAGGGCACTTCAGCAGGTTAATCCGGCCATGGATGGTGGTAAATCCATAACCAGTGAAGGTGTTCTGCAAAATATAATGAGTATAATGGATAGTTTTTTGTTTTTGTTCTCAAACACCAAACATGGGCGTTGGTTAAAAACCTGCGTGATCTACGGCACTTTGCACTTTATATGTTTAGATTTTTATCCATCAATACGATCTAATCGGTCCTGAAATAAATTCTGCAGCATGACAGTGGGACCAAACATACACAGCCAGAGTCAAGAGGGACAATGAGTCCTGCAACCCTGATTTCAACATCATGGAGTCAGTTTGGGATCACATGAAGAGACAGGAGAGACTGAGACTGAGTCACAGAAAAACTGAAGTTCTCCAAGATGCTTGGAACAACCCACCTGAAGAGTACCTGAAAAAACTGTGTGCAGGTGTACAGAGGAGAACTGGTGATTTGATTTGGTTTTTGATTGGTTTTTTCTTATGTTTCCTGCATTTTGAGGTTAATAAATAAGTAAAAAACTAGCATTAATTCTCATCCTCACGTCACTTTTAATGCCTAAAGTCTTTGCACAGTACTCTACTGCTGATGAGTCGAGGCATACCTGAATGCAACAGTGGCCATCCACAAAATAAGTAAATAAATAAATAAAATAATATATTTTTTTCAGAAAAGAAAAGAAAAAAGAAAAGAAAAGGAAAAAAAAAAAGAAAAGAAAACGGCAGATCACATGACCGCCTCCGTTATTTCCTGCAGCAGCTACCTCTCCGCTGCTCGCTCCTGCCTGCGACAGCACATCAGCGGTGTGGTCGCTCTGAACGCACGTCAACGGAAAGAAGAAACACTCCACACGTCGAGAAGGCCTCCGACACACTGTAAACCCTGTTGCAGTCATAGCGACGACGGATATAAACACACACATATATTTTTTCTAATCCTAGCTGCTCGTTTTTTTTTAATTTGATAGTCTTGTAAAAAAAAAAAAAGAGAAAAAGAAAAAAAAAAAAAAGCCAGTCCTCATAATGGCGACAGCTGCGGTGTCTGCCCCTGCTGGCTGCGGCCCCAGCCCCGGGCCGGGAACGGAGCTCGTCCGCGGGCAGGCCTTCGACGTCGGGCCTCGGTACAGCAACCTCTCCTACATCGGGGAGGGAGCCTACGGGATGGTGTGGTAAGTATACCCGAAGAGTCTGTTTACTTACCCAGAATTTTTTTTTTTACGTACCGCCTGGAGTTTACCCCTCTCCGTTTAAGCCCGACACAACGTTAGCTAACTTAAATCCTTTTCCGTTTAATACAGCAAAACAACGTTATATTTTAGCTAGCAACAGTGTCATTACCTAAATGAAGTCTGAGGCAGTTTGTGAAGAAAGCAGATTGAATCACAGCTGAATTAACAGATATTTTGTACATCGTAGTTGGTGTTTTTTTTGTGTTGCTATACTTAACTTGGAAGTCTTTTTTTATTTAGTTTCTTGCATCAATGGCGAACGTGTTTCTACATTAAAAACCATTTGCATCTTCTTTTAATTGGGTTTTTATGGCATCTTCGTGTCTAAAAACGCAAAATACAGCTTAAGAAAATGACCAACTCTGCCATTTTTGTCAGTGATATTTCTACAACAGGCACCCAGCAGGGTGTGTGCAATCCTCCACTTAAAACTAACATTGATTTTACTTAACTTAATAGTCCCTTCTATTAAACTAGAGTAATAACCCTTCTTATACTTGACCATTAAGTATATAGGATTTCAGTTGCTGTCAGTACAGACTTACTACCACATCTCTTTTTCTTCATTATATCATCATCATCATAAAATGTCCATGTGTTAGCTGTGTACACTGTGCTCAGGTTTCATTGGAGATATTTGCATAGTGCAACTGAAAATGTGTTGTTGTACATTTGCTATAGTAGCTGATGCTGATGGCTGGTTACATGCAGTATATGAAGGAATTTGTAGATGAGATCCACTCTGGAAGTAGTATTCTCTATCTAATGATATGCTATCAGGGGTGTAGTGGAGGATACACTCATCAAAACCCAATTTTTGCTCTGTTATTTGTGGTGTATATTTTGTATCCCCCTCTTCTGCATGACTGTTGGCTTAATTGTGCTGAATTTGTAGTACACGTTCTGATTATTAACCCCAAATATGACAAACTTAATTCAATTTTAACTGCATCTCAGATTGCATTAAGTGAAATCCTACTCTCCTCCTTTTTAAAACACTAAATCATGTTGTTTCTGTAGCTTGTGGTGATGTAGTTAACCTTAAATGTGCACACTGTACTGTATTACATAATATATTGTCCTTGTGTCAAACAACAGCGGCGTGGCTCTTTCTTCCTCTGTGGTGAGAGGATCTGGGTTTTCCGAGAACACTGATTTGACTCATAACCTGCGTACATAGAACAGACACAGCAGGTTGTTTAGCATGTTTTTGTGTGCAAAATGGGGAAAACTTGCCAAACACACACAGCCACGGTTCTTTCTTGTACAATCTCCTATCAAACAAATGATTAGTACATGCTGCAGCTCAAAGCAAGCAGACCAGATGAAATACTGTTAACCATTAAGGCCCCAGTCTTGGAAGGACGTTCAGCTATAAGGAGTTGTCTGTGAGGCTGCTTTGGCTTTAAAATAGACAATAAGATGCTGTTTTGACAGTTGATCAATCTTTGAAGTAAAACTACCAAATAGTTGTCTCTGGATTGTCGAATGTGAGTATTTGCGGATTTTTATCACTATAAACTTAATAGGTTGGGGCTTTTTGAATAGACATAGCTAGACAAAATAAACAATTTGAAGGCATTACTATGCTCTCAAGTTACTTGTGATGGGCATTTGTTATTAGTTATTATGGGCATTTTTTATTTGTATTTATTATTTGCCATATTTACGGCTACATGAATCAATTATTAACCAAAACAACCTGCAGCTTAATCGATAGACAGCTGGCTGTCTTAATATGTGCTCAACGAATCATTATTTAATTTTGCTCAACTATTAATTCTATGGTCACACGTTCTGAGTGCTTACATCCGTCACAAATCAGATTTTTGTGTTGTTTCCTAAACGCAGCAGCACATTTAGATTGATGTTTATATATGTGCACTAACTCTTTTAGAAACAGACAAATAACTAAACAAACTAGAGCTGAAACGACCAATCGATTAGTTTAGGTTTGTTCTTATCGCTGTGGTGTTTCTGCATTTCACCTCTCACCTGTTGCGTTTTATTCCTCGAACTTTCTTTTAATGTAGTGTCAGTTTCTGTAAGCAGAGCTCTCTCTCTCAGTCTCTCTCTCACTCTCTCTCTCTCTTCGTTATCTGCTGCCAATACTGGCCATTGGGGGGGTCCTTGCTTGCTACCCAGTGCTTTCTTCTTCTGGTTACTGCAAATGCATCTTCCAGTAGTATGAAATGCATTAGCAGAAGACCTTTTTTCTCCCTCAGATAAAGTTAATGGTTTGCTCTGCCCTTTGACAGTTTGTTTCAAGATCAGGCTTCTTTTGATGTTGACCCCCCCCCCCCACACACACACACACACACACACACACACACACACACACACACACACACACACAACAGACCAGATGATGACTTAGTGGTGCTGTCTGGTGCAAAATATTATCACTCATCATTATCATTTTTAATGGGCCGGATCGGAATACTACACATTTTAAAGGCATTTTCATACAAAGCGTGTTGTGAATGGTTTATTTCAACCCTGGAATGTTTTAATCCATTTGTAGGATTCATCTGGGCAGGTGTGAGCAAAGCCTCTCAGGTCACAGCAAAAAAAAAAAAAAATTAAAAATAAAAACAACAAAACAAAACACTTGAGTTAATATGCTTTTAAATTTAAGTCTTGATTATCCTCTAAGGCAACGGTGATAGAGTGTATTAGAAGTTACAATGGCAACCAAATACAGGAAACAACCCAGAAACAAAATGATTTGTGAGTTTAAAGTAAAGTATCTCTTCCTGGCATCAGGGATCATGAATAACAGCAACAAGCACAGACAGGTCCATTATGCTTGACTAAGGTTAAAGGGATCTGGCAAATAACAGGTTACAAAAAAACTTCATGTGCATTTAATGTGACCCTTTTTTTTTTTCTTTTACAAGCCCTTACAAATAAGCACCAACATAAACTGTTTAAGTGGATAATTTGAAGGAGAATTGAAATTCATTATCTTGGAGGTTCTTAAGGAGAAATTCAAATTCTTCTGTTTTAAAGAATTCAATTACCATTTTCATCTTGTAGCCCTTAAATGAGTATATTAACACTGTACACAAGCAGCAAATACAAGGTGTATAAAACAGTCCAGTGTTCTCTCAGTTTTACTGTAATCTTCACTCATCTGCATGTAAAAGCCCGGTTCTTGACTTTGTTTTCTGGTGTGCTCAGAGGCAGTTGGAGTGGGTGATGTGTTAGTCTCAGCCTCCTTGCACTTGTCTTGCTGTGCTCTTCTTCAGACTTGTGGTTTTCGTTCACTTGGTCATGTTGCTTTGATGTGCAGCAGCCAGAGAAAGTGCTGCAGCGTGTGCTTCATAGACGGCCCTCGGTTTGCATCTGAAATATTTCTAAATAGCCCCAGGTAGTTCCTCTTTATCTGGCTTCTCATCTGTGCTAGCATTGCACCAATATAGAGCATATACAGGTTATCATCTTGTTAATGGCTTCACTTGCCGTCAACAAGCAGTATGGCACAGAAAAGCTGCCTTCAAGCTTATATTTTGTTATATACATTTCATACATAAAGACACATTTAACATAGAGGTTTTAAACAATATAAGAGAAGATCACAATTAGAGTTTTTACACATTTTTATTTGGTTAAAAATGAAGTTAAAATTCAAATGTATATTTTACAAGAACTCTGCTGCCAATTATTTTTGATTAAGTGATTAAATGTTTTGGTCTGTGAAATATTAAAATACTAGTGAAAATAATTACAAATACCTTGTTTTCCAAAAACCCCAAAATATCGAGTTTACTATTCTACACAAGAAAGAGAAGCAGCAAATCCTCCCGTTTGAGATGCTGCAAATAGAAAATTTGAAAACTTTCAACTTTTTTTGTTGTTGTTGGAGCTGTACCTTGATTACACATTAGTCCTATAGCTGGAACTGTGATGCAGATATCTACACAGACATGTGATGGTACATCTTGACTTTTTGATACTGTGAAGCTAGGCTTGGCCGATATTTGATGGTATCAAATATTTTTCATCATACGCAATATTTTTCATAATATTGAAAAAGTGTGTAGTAGTAGTATCGTTTATACCCGTTGTGCGACTTTCTGCATCAGACAAGCTGATTGCTTGGTCCATCTGTCTATTAAGAGAGTATAATGTGCAGCATGTATATATGTATATGTATGTATATACATTAACTACCTAAAAACTATCTTTCTTTCTATCTAACTTTCTCCACTGTCTCCATGTCCTGCTTTTTGTTGCCTTTTTCTTTTCAATGTGCCGTCCTAAAGCATTTCAACTAACTGGATCACACAAAACATCACGCATAGACAGGGAGGACAGTGTTGTATCAAAGATGCAAACTTGGTGGCCGAGGAGTTGCTGTCTATTGTCTGACTTTTGTTACTAAGGCTACATGATAAGCATCGTCTGTTTGCAGTGTTATAGCCATAGCCCTGACGTGTGTTGTAAAACCATATTCTAATAACGTAATTATCACGACTGCAACTCTTTTTACACGATTATAAAACAATTGTTTGACACCAACATTTGATCTAAATTCTTCATTAGGGAGTGTGTTTATAGAGATACAATCAGGGTGACCTTTTGTTCCTCTATCTCAATGTATTTGCCTTTTAGAGAAGCTGAAACATGATAACAGGGTGTTTCTGTCTGAGAATTTGAGCATTAAAATGGTGTCAAATTATTTTGCAAACATTATTTCATCAGAGTTGTAGTTGTAGTGGTTGATTTAGTTTAATGATAGTGCAAATCTACATAGGAAAAGACTGGATTGGGGATTAAAAAGGTCAATATTCAAAGTTAGCTGCAGTGGCTATAGATATAAAACATGTGAAATTCAGAGTCTGAGGTTGTTTGCACAAAGAAGGTCTGCTGCCCAGAATACTCTACAGAGTTTTGAGTTTGTGTTAGGATATGTGGTATTACAAAATCTGCTTGTG